AACTCACGGCAGCCCAGCTCCAGGTTGAGCTGTTGTTCAGCATCTTAGCTGTGGAGGGCAGTGTCACTGGCCCTCACATGTGGGATCCAAACCCCGGGGCCCTCTGGCGTCCCAAGCCAGCTCTTAACCATCGCGTCACTCGGCCGGCCCTATTCAGCTTTCTTATACTGTGTAATGTATACACTGGAGCTGCCTTTATTTTGAAGTAGGGATAATCTGCTGAAGGACTTCTACCTGGGCCCCTCTCAATTCCAGATGACTTGTTCTCACTCAGAGCCTTAACATTCCACTGAGATAACTGAGGCAACATCACTCATGACATCACTCTGACCTAAGGAAGGAATGTCCTACTACTAAGTATGGCCAATTTGGTAAAAAGCTTTATTCCCAACTGTTTTGCTAATTGGGGTCTTACTGTTATCTGATAATCTGTAAGTCTTCTATGTGGGACCTAGTGTACTTGTAGTAATTTAAATACTATTTATTATTAGCTTGTCTGTTTTTTCTCTTAAGCTATAAGCTTTACCAGGGCAGAAACAATATGTTTTGTTCATCACTATATTCCCAATACTAGCGTACAGGTGTTCAAATACTTCTTTGCATAGTAACATGATTTCATATATCTAAGATGTGTGTCTCATAAAATTTAGAACCATAAGCCTGCTTAGGCTTTCTCATAGCATGGTAGCCAGGTTCTAAGAGTGAGCATCTTAAGAAAGCAAGGCATTTTTATGACCTAGTTTTGGAAATCATGTAGTGTTACTTCTTTCATACTTTGTTGACAAAGTTCTTCCCAAGTGAGGGAATATGGATCTCACCACTTGATGGGAGGAGTGGCGTGCCATATTATAGGAAGAGGATGTGAAATGGGAGATCTTGTATTGGCCATCTTTGATAGACTATCTATTACAGTTTGTAGTTTTCATGAAATTTGGAAAAATTTTAGCCAGAATTTTTTCAAATATATTTTCTGCCCTCTTCCACCTTGTTCTGTGGAACTCTAATTAATGTATGCTTGATACCCCACAGATCATTAAAACTGTTTTTTTCTTTTTCACTTTTTCTCTTTGCTTTATTTTGAATAGTTAATATTGCTGTCTTCAGGTTCACTGTTATTTTCTTCTGTAGTCTCTGTTGTTAAGCCATCTAGTGAATTTTTCATACCTCCTGTTTCTCTCATTTTCATATTTTCCTTTAAATTCTTGAGCATATTTATAGTAACTTTTAAGGTTTTTGTCTGCTAATTCTGTCATCCCTGACATTTCTGGGTCAGTTTCTGTTGATTCTCTCTCCACCCCCAAATTATGGCTATTTTTCTGCTTACATATCTAGTAATTTTTTACGGCATGCTACTAGCATCTTGAGACCTACATTGTTGGGTATCTGGATTTTTTTGTCTTTAAAGAAGACTGAAATTTGTTCAGGTAGGTAGTTACTTGGCTAATCAGCTTGCTACTTTAAATACTTGCTTTTAAGCTTTGTCAAAATGGATTTGGAATAGCTTTTGCTTTAGGGCTAGTTTAGCTCTAAGGTGTGATCCTTCTGAGAACTCTCTTGAATGCCCCTGGTATTCAAGGAGGTCCCTCTACTCTGGTTAGAACTATCCCAGCCCTGTGTGAGCTCTGGGAATTGTTCAGCTTGCAGTTCCTGGCGTTGGCCCCATGGGGTGTCACCTAACACACGTGTAAGTTAGTAATAGACTAAAGAGATCTCTGTGTAGATTTTTGGATGTAGTTCTCTATGCTGCAAATCCCAGCCATATCAGCTTCCTCAAATTCCAGTATCAGTTTACTCAATTCATCAAGACTGTGGTGCTCTGCCTGGGTACTCTATATATACATTGCAGCCTGGCAAGAGCTTCCAAGCAGAAAACTAGGGTGGTCACAGGGCTTACCTCACTTGCCTTCCTTTTCAAAAATCCTTTTCAGGGGTCAGTCCTGCACTCTTATCCACTGTCTAAAATTAGTTGTTTCATGTATCTTACCCAGTTTTCTAGTTTTGTATGGTGAAAGGGCAGGTTCTATACCAGTCAAAGTATGAATTTTATATCCAGGACTTCTTCTTTTAATCACTTAAGTACATTTTAGTTTCCAAATGTAAAAATGAAATGAGTCAACTTTGGGCTAGAATTTGGGTTCAGGTTTCAGGCCTACTCCCAACTTGCTGCATGAATATTGGCAAATTCCATTTCTTCTTGGGCTTTCACAGCCAAATTGAATTGCATATAATCCTATTTTCTCTACTTCTCAGGCATTCCATAACAAACAAATAGAAACAAAAACAAATCACACTAAATAAGGATGAGGTTATAAAAGTTGACACTTCCAAATCCTCTTGGCCCATCTTCCCGTTCATACTTTAAAGTAGAAAGGGGCCTGAGATGAAAAGAATAAGACTTATGCTGTGTCCTACTAACAGCCAACTACTACGGAACACTATCTGTGTGCCAGGAACTGTGTGAAACCTTTTCTCTGAATTAACTCACCAAATCCTCCTAACTGCCCTATGCTATAGGTACTGTTATTGTCCTCATTTCTCACATGAGAATGAGACACAGAAATTAAGCAACTTGAAGAGGGTCACACAGCTACTAAGTGGCAGTGGTAAAATTGGGATGGATTTGAACCTAAGCTCTGTGACTCAGGAGTCATACTCTTAACCACTATCAAAATGAAAACTATCAAAATGCATCAACTGCTGCTGTAGAACCATTAACTATAAAGGAGAGCGTTATCCCCAGAATCCCTTCAACAAAGCCTGTTTATTTCGTTAGCCTGATTTCCATGGAGAAGCAGAAAGATAGGGCTATATAGTTGGAATGTGAGAAAAGCACACCATCAGTATGGCAGGAAATGGTGGCAGATGACACCCAGCAAAAACTACCTAGAATATAGGATCTGAGTGGAGCCCACAGGGTCCAGAGTGGTTCCAAGTTTCTTCTGTCTGGCAGCTGTTTTGTTATTAATAGGTTCTCTTATTCTTTTTCTCTCCATTTTCAGACACATTTAATCAAGTCAAGCCCCAAAATGCTAACACTTTTTCCTGGAGAGAGAGAGGCTAAGATCACTCAAAGACGACCTCCACCTGCAGGCGTTCGGCAGACCAACATTGTTTCCTTCTTCACCTCGCAGCCAGGTATGGTGACCTGTCTGGGAGCACATGGGGAGCAAAAAGGAGTGCATTGATTTTCCCATGCTGGAACATTTATAAGTGGCGACACCAGTGCATTGTGTGAAACTTAGCTCACCTATTAGAAGAGGTTATAAAACACAAGAAATCATCCCCTTTTGAAGAGCAGTATATACATGCTTTTACAAACATACTTTTCTGGTTCTGTTTTGCTCAGTCTAATATTAAATATCTGTGTTCCCTGAACAGTGAGGAAAGGTATACTTGGGAGTTGGGGAGCTGACTTGCCATTAGTTAGGTATATGTCTTGGATTGGTCACAGTGAGTGGTCTGTATAAGATTAATGGATAATTGATATTTCTGTATGAAGTTTTTCAAATTAGTCAAGGTTCAATGACACTTTTTTCTTAGAAAGGTTGGCACAAAGTTGGCTGTATCTCATCATCCTTTGACTATTCTTGGCTGGGATGTCCCACTTCAGGGGACCAGCTGTCCTGGAGCAGGCCAGGGCTTACAGAACTGGGTTCCTGCCAGTTGGAGGGTGTTGGGAGGGGAGCACTAACTCCTGGTGTGAGTCCCAGGATTGCTTTGCATAAACCTTCAAAATGCACTCTCCCTACCCAAAACAAAAACTTAAACATCCTTTTGCTTTAACTAACAAGGACAGATTTTTTATTTTTCCAAAAACATTTTCCATTTCAAAATTCCACTTCAAATTTCAAGATTTTTGTATATTCTATAGTATATTTCAAAATTCTCGTCTACTCTACAGTCTATATTGAATTCTTAGGCAAAATCGAGAACTCTTTCATAAAATATAGTTTCTGCAGTGTAATTCTTAGAGAAGGAAAGAGGAAATCAGTAATTCAGGTTTGTTTGTAATTACAACAGATCTTGGAATAATTTGGAGGGGAGTGGGAATTCCATGGCATTTGTCCTTAAGGCAGAACAGGGTCCATTCTATGCCTGACAAAATGGGACAGGTTGGACACTAGTAGTTGATTATTGTCATTCCTGCTGATTGACTTAGCATCTAATTGTGTCTTTACTCTCTTTACCACAAAATGTTTGGCAGTGGGGAACCTGCCTTCTTCACACTGTCACCAGGTTTCTCAGAATTGGATGGTCAGTGTGATCTTTGAGGCCTTACAAAAATAGTGTGTTGAGAATGTTTCTCAAAAGATAATATCCAGGAGTTTTGGGCGAGGGTAACTATTTAGCAGAAAGCACATTTAATGAAAGACAAACGCAAAACTGATGTGCCCTATGGTAAACAAACCCCACATTTGAAAAAGTTGGAAAAGTAGGCTGTGGTCTGATTATATGTCGTGTTTGACTTTTATTAGGTAGGTCATGGGAGGCATCCGTATATTGGAGATGGGGAATATAAGATGTGTGTTTTAGAAAGATCGTTCAGGAGAAAATAGATCGAAAGCAGGAATTGTTCAGGAGACAACAGTGAAAGCAGGACTGCCGGCTACAAACGCATGTGAAGAGTCTGAGACCCGTGCAACTAGGTAGTGATGATTGATTTCAGAAAGAGCCAGCTAAATCCTGCTCAGGGCAGCTTTCCTGCAGAATAATATTTGCTCATGTCTGTTTTACTAGGAAAGACAAATGGTGGTGATCAGAGGAGTGTTTCAACTCATATAGAAAGTCAGACCAACAGCGAGTCTAAGAAAGATGCAACCCAGCTAGACCATCGGATCCAGGGCTTGGGAGATGATTCTGTGGCACCCCCTTTATCCACTTCAACCCCTGCAGACATCCAGGAAGCTGGGCTTTCTCCTCAGTCCCTCCAGGCTTCTGGCCACCACAGAATGGGAACCCCATTGTTGACTGTGATGCCTTTGTCCCAGCCTGACACCTTAGTCTGTGCTGGAGAGAGTCAAGACCCACTGGCTTGTTCCTTCACCCAGGACTTGGAAAGTTCTTGCTTGCTGGACCAAAAGGAGGGAGAGAAAGATTCTTCCCGGAAGAGGGAATGGCTTCATGGATCTAAGAAAAATAACTGTCAGGGTATGGAGAGACGCAGTAAACCACCTGGGGGCAGGGGCCATCAGTCCTTGAAGTCTAAATTGGAAAAGGTGTCAGCCAAAGAAAATAGGCAGGCCCCCATCCTTTTTCAAACATACAGGGATCCCTGGAGTGGAGAAAACACAGCAGCAGTGAAACAAAGCTCTTGTGCTGTTCCTGTCTTTTCCTGGGATGGTGAAAAGAATGACAGGGACTCCTGGAGTCAGCTTTTCACTGAGGATTCTCAGGGCCAGCGCGTCATTGCCCACACCTCTAGAGCTCCTTTCAGAGATGTAACTAACAGTCGGAACTATCAGGGCTTAGAGCAGTTTCCTAACAGCCCGTGGGCTCAGTGGCAGGATAGGCCCTCTCAGTTAAATCTGCAGCCTGATTTGCTCTTTACCGAGGACTCTGAAGGTAATCAAGTTATCAGACACCAAGTCTAAATGTCTTTGAGGGTTTGGTTCTAAAAGTACCTTGAAATGACAGATTTAGGAAAATATCTTGGCAGGGGGTGTGTGTTGGGGAGTGTGTGTTTGGTTAGGAGGGAAGTATGGTATGAAGCTGTTATTAAGCACTTCTTTGTGTAAATAAAGCAGGTGGTGACACTTTTTGGTTAGGAGGGAGGTGTGGGATGAAGATGTTATTGAGCACTTTGTGTAAAGAAAGCAGGTGGTGACACTTGTTGAGACACCATGGCTGGCATCATGCCTTTCCCTGAGGAAGAGGTGGCTGATAGAGTCCCTGTGTGAGTCTGGTGAGCATTGAGGAGGAACAGCAGGTACTTATCCTTCCACTAGAGCCTGTTGTTTGGCCAGCATGGGGCCACCTATGCCCTTTCAGATGCCTTCCTGGAACACTGCTTCTCATAGATGTGTATCCTTTTAATCTTGGCTGTAATACTTACTCAGCCTAAGTTTGGGACCATTACTCCTGACACTTTTTTGAGTGATAAGTCAAATCTCCCTAACCTGGGTATATGGGGGTAGAAGGTAGAACGGTGGCCTTTGTATTTATTTTTTTGTGATTTTATTTTTGTGGTACTTTACAGCATTTTAAAGTTATGTACTATGTTTAAACATCTCTCTTAAAAAGCCTGAGCTATATAACAATCTTTTTTTAAATTATTTTTTATTATGAAATGCACATTTTTTAGAATTTATATAACAATTTTGCTGTGACTATATCACTCTTCTACAAGGTGGGAGAGAACTCCCTTTGTAAAACTGAGTCCAAATAAAACTGTTTACAAAGCTGGTTCTCATGGTAATTAAAATATTACCATTTTGTGAAAGCGTCACTGCCCTGGGTGCGATCTGAACAGGGGAGTCTCATGTGGCCTATGTTCTACCCAAGGTGTTATCCATCAGGTAGCAGTTTCCCATGCTGCCAGTGTGGTACTATGAGGCTTAAACAGCCTGTGGGGCAAGCTTGCAAGTTCTAAGATGGAACTGCTTCAGGGCAAAATCTCTACAGAAAGGGACAAGAGGGTCCTTTGGGAAGTTCTCTTATAAAGGCCGCACCTTAGAAGGAAAGAGGGGAAAGGCAGGATTAGTGAAAGTCAATACTGTAAAATGAACAGGAATCCTAGACCCGTGGGGGAGACCAGGTGATTACAGCTCAGAGATGAACACAGCAAGTGCAATGTATCTCCAAATCTTTCCTTTAATGTCAGGTAGTGCTTCAGCCCAAACACACACAGGATACATACCGTAAAGAAAGGGACCTGAGGGCGTCTGAGTCATGCATGGTGTGGCAGGTACAAACCTTGGCCCAACGTAAAGGAGCAGTCGAGGGCCTGGAAGAAAGGTGGTGTTCTCTTTTCCCTCCCTATTTCTCTTTCCTGCTGGGCTTAAAACTAAAGTCCATGGAAGAGAAAATTTTCATCAGTGGAACTAATGAGGCTCCAGGGCCTTGGAGGGTAGATTTGGTTGTACAGTATTACAAAATATATTTCAGAAAAAAACAGGCCAGGTCTCCCAGAAGCAGCCCAAATGTCAGCTGGTCCGGAGGCTCAACCTCTACATCTGGGTGTTGGATGGGGGAGAGGGTGATTGCTGAGCATTGGTGTCGGTTTATGATGAAGCAGCATAAGAGTTTTCCTGCCTTGTGATCATGTACATAAACATTCAGAGTCCCCTCCTCTCTGCTCTGATGCAAGAAAGCTGCTGAGAGTGACAGCTGGGCACAAAGTGTCCGGTGAGACCAGTTATGGGGTCTAATGCAGTGAGGTCAGTCATTCAGGACCTATTTTCACACAGGAGCAAGGGAAAACCAGAAACTTCTAGCTCACCCTTTAGACTGAAACATTCCGACCTACACATTTACCTGCAAAAGTCTCTCAACTCAAAACAGGCCTAACTTCTGCAAAGGTTTGAAGTACGGAAACAATCCAGCCCAAGCTCTAGCTTTCGGCAAGACTGTTGCAGAAAATTTCTGAGGCAGAAACATCTGCTGTGAGGAAGGCAGCTATTGAAGGGATTCCAGGAGCATGAGACTGAGTTTGCAGAGCTGAGTGCTTTCAGTTTCCTTTTCTACTGATATCTTCTTCCTTCAGAGCAAACTTCCTTCTTAGGACCTCAGAGATAAGGACCGCAGGGTCTTCCTCCTTCAACAAACTCCGATTCCTAGACACAACAAAAATTTATTAATCATTTAATAACTTCTTGAGTACTTACTTTCCTGGGCAGTGTTCCATGTCTTTGAATACGATCTCATTTAATCCTCACAATCTGATGAGGTAGGTGCTCTGACAATCCTCTTATACAGATGAGGAACTGAAGCGCAGAAAGGTTATAAAAGTTGCCCAAAGTCACTAGTCACTCAGTCAGGAGGTGGTGACTCCAGAGTCTAAAACCAAGCCAGCTGGTTGCAGAGCTCATTTCTTAACTGGAATGCTTTACTATTTCCTGAGATGGCCATAAAATGTGGGCAAAGTGAAAGGCCACCAACCAGTTAAGAGTTGGCCTGTGGTGGCTAAGCTTCTACTCCCACTTGCGTGCTATCTTAGTAGCATTTCCTCAGGTCAGCAAGGGACATGACTAACGACTCCTGGCTATTCTGATCTTTATTAGTTCCAGGGAAAAGGTATGCTGAGGGTACCTACTATCATGTTTTCCCATCAGGGGGACTGTGAGGTTTTCTTTTATAAGAAATCTAGAATTTATAGTTAAACATTCACATAAGAGACCTGTGAGAATAAAACCAACTCTGGATTGGGGTAGGTTCAAATTACCTGATGCAGCATTAAAAAGTGTCCTAGATACCTGGAAAATAGTTGCTTGAAGTCCTAGTAAACTTATACATACCTTATAAAGGCATTTTAGTAGTCATTAGGCTAGATATAAGGGCCAAGAATGTTTATTAAGTCTTGAAAGCAAAAGGAAGAGTAATTGCTTTCAGTCTGTCATATTTCTGAACCTTTTGTGATGGCCTTACTTTCCCATTCTTAGTCATTAACTTAGCTCCTATTAACAGGGACAAAAGGTCCCAGGACACAAGTGGGAGGAGGAGTTTGATCTAATATGGGCAAGAGGCAAGTAAAAGAGTTTGAGAGTCAACCTATAAAATACTGACCAAAAGAAAAAGCCTCAGTGCAGCCCCAAAGCAGCAGCAGCTGAATTTGGGAATGTAGGAGACCAAAGAACTGTGGGTATGACCAAGACGAGCCTGGCTAGGGCCAGAGATGGACGCTGAGAGTAACTTCCCTAAAGGATCGACTCCAGGAAGCAATGAAAGAAAGGGAAACAGGGCCAGAGACAGAAAGGGATCCTTGCACGGGTGAGTAACCTTCCCTTTAACAGGAACTTCATCAACTCAAGAGAGAGAGCCCTCACCTCCCACAAGAGCTTTTAATAGAGATGAACAAATACAGCTGCACACTCTGGCCTTTGGGGTCTGGACGTCAAACAAATGTTTCAATGCCCAGGAACCCGCAAACAAGCGCCTCTGGCTAGTCCCAGGCAGAGCTCAGACCACGCTTGGAGAAACACTGCAAGATGATTACTCATCGGGCTGGAGCTCTCGGGCTTCTCTGCTGGATGAGTTTCTCAAGGTAGGTATTCCTCCCAATTCTCTCATGATCCCATCAGAAACACCTAGAGCTCCACTCCTTGGGAGTTTGGCTTTAGTACGTGTAAGGTGTATTTTTAACAAATCTGAGCAATTCTGATGGGCAGCCAGATTTAGGAACTACCGTTATTTCCTCATGTATAAGATGCACCCTCTTCCGGAAAATTTGGGGTCTAAAAACTGGGTGCATCTTATACAGTGGTTGTATAAGCAAGCGCGCGCGCGCACACACACACACAAACCAAGTGCGAAATGCAAGTAAAAAAAAAAATCTACAACCACTGTATAAGATGCACCCAGTTTTTAGACACCAAATTTTTCGAAAAAGGGGTGCGTCTTATACATGGGGAAATACGGTAACTTGTTCTCAAATCTCTGAAATGCAGGGTTGGTCTGCATAATAGACTGACCACTGTATTTGAAAGCAGAAACTCCCAAATTCATGAAATTCTTCCACCAAAAGTCTACCGATTTGAGATACTAAAATAATTATTCTGCAACCCAAGTCTGAAGGGTGGGGCATGGGAACACTTACTTAGCAATATGAGAGCTGAGGTGGTGTAGCCTCCTGGGATACAGAAGTGGGATTAGATGAACCTCCTTATAAAATTCCTACTAGTCTAACATTTGGTTGGATTAGATTGCCCCAACCAAATGTAAAGTATTGCTCCTTCCTCATACTGCAGCCTGGGGGCATTAGTGAGCAGGTAGCAAGCTTTGTTAACAAATTAACTCATGGCTACTAAGGAGGCCTTAATATGTAAGTGCTGTCTGTTAGCTCATTGGTCACAGGTGACTTAAAGAGTACATAGATCACCAGAGCGCCATATCAGTACTTACAGATCTTGGCTCTGTTTCATCCGATGGAAGTCCTTCAGGATCCCCATCATATCTGCAAAGCTGCTGGCTTTGGACAGAGAGATGCAGTCATCCTCTTCAGACGAGCTGCAGGTAGCTTTGTGTTCTGGTTTGCAACATTCAGGGCTGGCAGAACAAAGCAGGGGGACTGATGGAAGCTCAGGGACCTCTACCTCGGTCTCCTCGGTGATGTCACTAATGACAAAGGAAGTTGTAGAGTGGAATGAGGATCCAAAACAAGGTAAGGGAGAAGAGACATTTGAACTTCCTGGAGATAAGAAATCTGGCGTTAATGAAGCCGAAGCTGAAAGAGAAAACAATAGGCATGGATGGACATTGGGGCTAGAATACAGCAGTAATATCTTCTCACAAGCACTGCCTACCAAACATTCATTTCCTGGGCTAACACCATGTCATCCTGGGCGAGCCCAGAATGGGTAACTGTAAGCGGGTGGAGGCTTCCTCCACTACCCTTCCCTCTCAGGATTTCAAGAAGATGTACAAGCACTGTGCTCTTCAGTGTTCCAGGGGAGCAGGAAAACCTACCCCATCAGGCGTTGGGTCCTAAACGCTCTCATTCTGTAATGAGCTATGGAGTAACAGCCCTGTTCAGACTGAAACAGCAGTGACAGAACCAAGGCTGAAATTTCTCCTTTTCTCTAACTGGCCTCATGCTTCTGACTACCCTATTTTGAATGCCACCAGTGACTGGAAGAAGCACGCTGCAGCAAAAATAGAATGGTGACAGTCTTCGTTTCCCAAATTTAATGGAATTTCCTCAATTTTTAAGTTTCTAAAATACTGATTTTTCATCAAGTACTTTAGTTTGTCTCTTAGATGACAAAAAGGTAATGCAGTAAAGCCGAGTGGCTCAGTTGGTTAAGAACGCGAGCTCTGAGCAACAGGGTCGATGGTTCGATTCCCATATGGGACAGTGAGCTGCACCCGAGCGAAGCTGTCACTGAACTGCCAACAGGTGGCAGGATGGCTCAGCTGGTGAGAGCACGTGCTCCTAACAACAAGGTTGCTGGTTCGACTCCCACATGGGATAGTGGGCTATGCCCACCCGCAACTAAGATTGAACACGGCACCTTGAGCTGAGCTCCCTAAGCTGCTGATGGGTAGCTGGATGGCGACTGGACTTGGAGCTGAGCTAGCTGCGCCCTCCATAACTAAGATTGAAGGACAACAAATTGGCTGTTTCCCTTCCCCAACTCCCCAATAAAATCTTTAAAAAAAAAAGAAAATTCAAGTACAGTTCTTCTAAAACTGCCATATGAGGGAATTAAATACATGAAGATTTCAAAGAGAACACCATAATTTTCATGTGTATTACCAACTGATAAGGTTTGGGAACTGTGACTTTGAGTCAACTAGGAGCAAAGAAATGAGGATAGGAGGAACATGAGGATGGATAAACCCTGAGCTGCTCAGGAGAGAGCCACCTATGGGTATTTCATGCCAACTGGTGAAGGCAGACTCCCATCCATTTCCAGGGGTTCTGCCTTAACTGCAGACATAAAAGTGGAGGGATGGAGAGGTAGCCTCTGGTAAACATGACAAGGTAAGGGAAGACAGGTGCTTAAAGAGGATGCTTATTTCCAGTATTGAAAAGGAAGACACTGAGGGCTCATGGAAGATGTGATCTTAAAGACACTTGGCAGAGGGGTGTTAGTTTTGTGGCCAAGGGAGGGAATCTGCTTGGGGTCACAGGTTAAGTGAAGATTTTGTTCCTAATCAAACCAGCTCACAATGGCTGACAGAAACCATCCAAGGAGGACTACAGGCTAGCCAGGCCTCTGAGCAACCCCAGAGCCCTGGCCCAAGTGTCCCTGAACAAGGGACCACCATTTTCCTTTCCCCTATCCTGTCCAAAAGCCAGGGGGAAAGGCTCTGACTCGGGCTCCTACCTGCGTCAGCTGCCACTATCTTAGCAATCTGGCTGCGCAGGTGGCTCAGCTCATCCTGCAGCTCTGTGGTGCGGCTTAGGGCTGGCAGGGCTGGCTTCTTCAAGGCCAGGAGCCTCTCCTCTGACCCGCGCAGGTTGGGCACCGAGGCATTGCGCTGCATAACAATCAGAGGGCTGGGCTTCCAGGTATGCCTCAAGGGGCGTGTATCGCTCCTGGACCAGGGAAAGACAGGTATATCAGAGGCAGCTGGCCACTGCACCCCTTCTGAAATCCCATCACCCACTCCTACAAGGGGAACAGCCAGGTTCTGCTTCCCCTCGGAGCCCACGACTCTCATTCCTACTGCCCTCAGCCTCTCACACACTCCCTGCTGCCTGCCCCCTCATCTGGGAAGAAGCTCCCTACTCCCCAGCAGACTGGCTGTTGCCTCAGCTACCTGACCCGGGCATATGTCTCCTCTTCATCTGCAGCTATCCAAGCGATGTCAGCCAGAGTAGGGACTGGGGGCACATCCCTCAGACACAGGTCAGAGATGTTGGGCAGGGTCTGGAGGGAAACAGACTTCATCAACAAACACTTACTGCCGTGAGACAATCAGACTGGACAAAATACACACGAGGGGAACCTAATCCAGCACTGGGTGTCAGGAAGGCTTCCTAGAGGAGGATTCCTGGTTGGAAACAGCTTGAATAGGAGGCCAGAAGCAAGAAAATTTGTGGGATTACAGATAGTTCAGCGTGGCTGTACTAGTTCAATCCTGTCTGTATAGGATTGGTGGCAGGGGTATTGCAAAAGGTTGGAAAGTAAATGAGGAGCTTTGATTCGAAGACCAATAATGAGCCCCTGGAAGATTGTAAGTAAGGGTCAGATTTTAGGTTTTAAAAGATTACTGCCATGTGTGTGGGACATGGACAGGAAGGTGAACAGACCAGTTATGAGGCTGTTGTATCCTCCAAGCAAAACAGGGTGGCCTAGAGGAGGGATGGGATCTGTTTTAATAAAGTTTTATTGGAAAACCAGCCACACCCATTTGCTTATGTGTTGTCTGGTGGCTATTAAACTATAACTGCAAAAGTGAGTAGTTGTAACAAGACGGTTACAGCCCACCTAAAATACTTATTACCTGGCCTTTAAAAGAAAAAGTTTACTGACCCCTGGCTAGAGCCAAGGGGTCTTCAGTGGGCCTGGCCAGAATTACCTTTTAACAGAGATGGTGACTGTCTAAGAGTGTCTTGCCCTCTGGTTGTGAGAATACAGGTGCAAGTATGTCAGTAATCTGTTATCAGTAGGTTTCCTCTGGCCAGCTCTTCACAAAACTGTTCTAGCTAACTGGGATCTACTGTTAATAGCAACCTTCTTTTAAGCAAACTTAATAATGTGAATATTTAGGTTTAAATAAAAAAGACGATTAATTATATAAAAGAAATCATAGTAGGATTCCTTGAAATAGCCCCTCAACCCAAATGAACAGCAACCAGGGAACAGAGAGGCTGAGTGATACTATGTTAAATGAGAAATTAGAAAGATTCAATCATATATTGAGTAGATTACAAAAAGCAAAAATATACATCTAGTAAAAGATGGAAAAGAACTACAACAAAACATTAATAATTACTGTGTCATGGCAATGTGATTATAGGCAGTTTATTTTCCTTACTCCTTTTTACTTTCAATAATTTTATTTTTATATGGGTAAATTTAAAACAAATCAGCAAGATTTCCTTAAATAATACTTAAGGTAATTAATTTACAATAGAGATCCAGGGATTATTTCTAAAAAAACCCACCCATACATGAGTTAAATTCAGATGTTTCTGCTACAAACTGTTTGTGGGTGGTCCAGGAGTTGATGGCTCTCACTTTTAGATAGAAACCTGGTCTCCCAGGAGAGAAGTGATCTCCCATTGACCCAGGAGTTACTACTAAGATGGGCTATTTAGAGGGGGAGCTTCCTTTGATTAGCCGGAGCACACTCTGCTATTGGCAATTAAATGAGTTAACAGCACATAGTATATGCTCAGTAAATGTCAGCTGGTATTACTGATACAGGCATACCTCACTTTATTGAGCTTCACAGATGTTGTGTTTTTTAAAAATTGAAGGCAACACCCCCTCACAAGTAAAAAGATTACTTGCTTTACTGCGCTACTTGATTTATTAGGGTGGTCTGGAACCCAACCTGCAGTATGTCTGAGGTCTGCCTGTTCTACTCACATATACTCCTGCTCTGGGAGCCTGTGCCCTCAATCAGCTCTGCCCAGCAGCATCCGGCCAAAGGACTGGAAGGGTTATAACCAAGTGTGGGAGCAACATCCAAAGTCCTTCATACTCCCTAGCTGTGCTTCCCTTTGTATCTGATGCTTGAGGCAGCTAGGCAACTCATGCCCTTTAGGCAATTCTGGATAACTGGGCATCTGGGTCATGGGAAAGCTCCCCAACACACACACACCACCACCAACCCCCCATCCCCACC